GCTTTATGTATAGATTTGGTAACCATATCCATAGAAATAATCTTTGAACCCATGGGAGCTGATGAGTTCACTGAGTAAGAATTCAGAAAAACAAGGAAAGAAGGCCAAAGATATTAGTCATGTCTCCCTGTATCATCACTAGGTACACTCTTGAGGGAGAAGTAGCTTCTGATCCAGATCATTTCATCTGATTTCTGAGGTTGTATGTTTTCTGGAGCTGGAAACTCCTCATAAGTGAGCTCTAGCAAAGAAAGATTATTGATTTCCTAGAGCTCTCTGAGCCCTTTGTAACTCTGTAAGAGAGGATGGGACTGTGGCTTTGGAAGAAAATTAATGAGTTGTCAGTGTTTAATAAAGTGGATACAATAAACACCTAGGGGAAAAAATTTTATTTGATTAAAAACTGCTGGAAAAATTGGAAAAGTTTGGTAGAAAATGCAGTTAGACAAGCAGCTTACAGCATATTCCACAATACATTCTAAATTAATACTTGGCTTTAATATTAAATCATATCATAAAATAAGTGAAGAGAAATAAATCATATATGCCTCAAAGCTATGGGTTGGAAATGTCTTCTTGGGGCAGCTAGGTGGCGCAGTGGATAGAGCACCGGCCCTGAAGTCAGGAGGACCTGAGTTCAAATCCAGCCTCAGACCAAACACTTGACACTTACTAGCTGTGTGACCCTGGGCAAGTCACTTAACCCCAATTGCCTCACCAAAAAAAAAAATGTATTCTTAACCGAACAAGGGATAAAAGCAATTGCAAGAGATAAAATAGACGACTTTTATTATAAGACACTCAAAGGCTTCAGTAAAGACAAAACTAATCAACCTAGGGTAAGAAAGGAAGCCGTTAAATAAGAAAAAAATCTTTGGGTCAAATTTTTCTGATCAGGGATTGGACTTAAAATGTAAAAACAATATAAATATGTGTATGTGTACCTGTACTATGTTGTAAGAAATGATGTATGTCATGAAAACAGAGAAGCCTAGAAAGATTTGTGTAACGCAGAGTGAAACCAGCACAGCCAAGAAAATGGTATAAGCAGTAATTACAATGATGTCAATGGAATTTTCCCCATGCAAAAAAAAAAATCAAGTGAATGAAAGGAAAACTATAAAGTTCAAGCAAGAAGAGACAGAAAGTGACAAATTTTGGAGAGAATGTGGAAAAATCAGGACACTAACTCATTATTGGTCTAGTGAACTGATCCAACAATTTTGGAGAGCAATCTGGAATTATGCCCAAAGTTATTAAACTGCCTATACCCATTTGACCCAGAAATACCACTACTAGGTCTGTTTCCCCAAGATGATTAGGGGGAAAGGAAAAGAACCTATACATTCTAAAATATTTATAGCAGCTCTTTTCATGGTGGTAAAGAACTGAAAATGCGTGGGATGCCCATCACTGCGGAAATGACTGAACAAGTTGTGGCATATGATTGCGATCGAATACTACCGTGCTGTAAGAAATGATGAGCTCGATTACCTTAGAAAACATGGATAAACTTATGCAAAATAATGAAGAGCAAAAGAGCAGAACCAAGAGAACATTGTATACAGTAACAGCAAGATTGTTTTAAGAACAACTTTGAGTGAATAAGTCATTTTGCTATTATAAATACTCAAATTAACTACTAAGGGCCTATGAAGGAAGACACTCTTTACACCCAGAGAAAGAACTGATAAAGAGTAGTATGTGTAGGATAATTTTATGTATATTTACATACATATACATATCTGCATCTAATGATAGCCATCTCTAAGGTGAGGAACAGGGAAGGAAAAAAAGAAAAAATAAATTTACACAACTATTATATATTTAAAAGGAATAGCAAGTTGTACATAATAGACTTACAGTTTCATGTGGAATCATCTTTTATTATTATATTATGTTATGGAAATTCTTGGCTTATTCCATAAATTAAAATTAAATATTTTATGGTAATTTTTTTCACTTAATAGCATTTTGTTTTTTTCAGTTATATGTAAAGATAGTTTTCAGCATTCATTGTTGTAAGATTTTGAGTTCCAAATTTTTCTCCCTCCCTCCTTGTCCTCACCCTTCCCCAAGACAGCAAGCAATCTGATTTAGGTTATACATGTACAATCGTGTTAAAATATTTCCACATTGGTCGTGTTGTGAAAGAAGAATCAGAACAAAAGTGAAAATTATGAGAAAGAAAAAAAGAAAAAGCAGTTCTTCCCCGGATGTGGATAGCTATTTCCATCACAAGTCTTGGAATTATCTTAGAGCATTGTATTACTGAGAAGAGCTATGTCCATCATAATTGATCACCATACAATGTTGCTGTTACTGTGTACAATATTCTCCTGGTTCTGCTCACTTCACTCAATGTCAGTTCATGTAAGTTTTTCCAAGTCTTTCTGAAACCCACCTGCACATCATTTCTTAGAGCACAATAATATTCCATTATATTCATATGCATATATGAATATAGTATTTTATTTTCTTTTGTGTATTTTTTTCCTTTTCTTATTGTGTATTTAAATTTTAGTATTTACGTCTAAAATTAAAAAAAATTAAAAAAGGAAAGTTGAGAAATCAGGGCCATATTTCTACCTTCCCCTGCCCAGCAGATTCCCCACATCCCAGATGACCTAGTCCCTACTCATGGCCACCACCTTCCACACTCCCAGGTTCTTCCTGGGGTCCTTTCAGCACAAACCTCCTTCTGGACACCACATTCAAATGAATACATTCACCAATTGGAACATGTACAGGGTCCGGGAACTATGATCCTTCCATGACCCCCCCACCCTGGAGAGATAATCAGCTGACCTAAGTGGGGTATCTCAAACATTCCTCTATAACCAGCCTGACCCCAGAACTCCACTAAGTACTTCCTCTCCCCACCCCCAATCCAGCCTCCTCACAACTGACAGAGTAATTTTCCAGAGGAACAAGACTTCCATATCATCCCCTTCCTCAGTACACAACAATGGCTCCCGAATATGTCTAGGATAAAACGCAGACTTTTCTCTGTGTGGCTTTCAAAGCCCTTCACAGCCTGTGCCCAAGGTCCCTTCCTGCCTTGTTATTCATTGGTCTCCTTCCTGCACTCTGAGGTCCAGCCACTGCTTCCCACACCAGTCTCCATCTTTGTATGGACCCTCTGTCTATAATGCCCTCCTCCCTGACCTTTGCCTTACAGGATCCCTCCATTCATTCAGGGCCCTGCTAATATGCATCAGCTTCAACACAAAGTCTTTCCTGATTCCCCAGCTGTCAGTGCTTTCCCTCTCAAACCAACGACTATCTACCCACACGCATGTCTTTATTTTATATTAGTCCTGTGTATATGTGTTCTGCACAAACGTCGACCTGTGCACATGTTGTCCCACCTAAGACAATGGAAGCTCCAGGAGAACTTTCTGTCTTTGTATCTCCTCCGCCATTCCGCTACCTTACAGCCTGGTGACATTGGATGCTTAATTAGTGTTTGATGATGGATTGTGCACCAGACAGGACCAGCGACCATCTGGCCTGACATCACACATGTGTCCTCACCCCCCTTTTCCATTCACGAGGAACGAAAGTGAAGTCAATCTTACTTATTACCGCAGTGAAGGGCTAGCCATCCACTGCGTCCACGCAGGAATCTGAGCCGTGGGCTGCCCTGGCCAAATGTGATCACCAGACTCTCTTCTATCACAGCTCATTCATTTCAACTTCAGTCCTCTCAATGTCTCATCCCACTCTCCCCTACCTTTACTTTGTGCCTTCTGGGAATCTTGTTTTGTTGTTAACAAGCTTCCCTTGAAAGTTAAAGCTGTGCCTTCTACCTACAAATATTTTACATAAATAATTTGTACTGACATACATACTTAGATATATTTTGTTCTCACCAATAGAGTGTAAGCTCCATCGGGGCAGTCCTGTTTCTCTTTTGGTTTTTCACTTCTAACATGCAGCACAGGATAGGTCACACAGTAGGAGCTTAATAAATGGTCCTTGAATTTGAGCTGGGTCTTGTCTAGGCTGGAGGCTGCCTGTATCATAGGCCTCCTTATCAGGAAAGCACAAAGTGATGAGATACAAGCAAGCACAGACTGTCAGCTGTGCTCACTCAGGGCTCCTGAGGCCCTCTGGGTCAAGGGTCAGCTCCACAGGTGAGTGCAATAACTGAGTAGACTGTAAATGCAGCTGTGAATGCTATGGCAGGCTATTCCTGGGGTGAAAGGTGCTGTCGTTGGGGTAGCTTAGAGGAAATGCAGGAGCTGGGACATTTGAATACCTGGAGGGTGGGTACCCCATACTGAATAACTATAGTACCTGGAACAAGCTTCATAACTTCTGCAGATTTGTAGTCAGGAAGACCAGAATTCAAATCTGGCTTTAAAAACCTGGGCAAGTGACTTCACCTCTGTCCACTTCAATTTTCTCATCTGCAAAATGAGGATAATATAGACTCTCCCTCGTATGTCGTTGTGAGGATGAGATGAAATAGTGTTGGTAACTTACTTTGCAAAACTGAAAGTTCTATATAAATGTTAGCCATTATTATTATTATTACTGTTGTTCTTGTTATTTATTCCAAAGAGCAGATGGTAAGACTGACCCAGAAGTCACACCACGGATGGACCATCTGCTCACAAACCAACTGAGTCTAGGGTCTGAGGCCTAGTCTTACGTGGTCATGGCATTAGGCCTCTGTGCCCGATCTTGGTCCTTTCAGGGTGAGACTTTCATGGGGGCCCTGGTCATTTCCAGGCAAATCTCAGTATTTGTGGCACAGGTGCCCTTTGGTGGTCTTCAATACTAGTTACTCATCAGATTCCCTGGCCCGTGACAGGCTACATTTACCTTAAGACTCTGATTCTCTCAGAGGTAAGCACTGAAGGACCATGGTCCCTCATTCATCAGTATAAGAGCGGAAATTGTGGGGCCTGAGTTAGGTGGTATACAGCAGCTGGGCTGGCCACCACATCCTGGGACAGCCTCTACTCCACCTACCTTTTCCACTCTGCACAGTTGAGGCTGGGCAGCCCAGGACAGAGCTGAAAATCCACCATGGGCCCCACAGTCACTTTCCTGTTCTCCATTGGTGAGTGTCCAGGGTCAGGCCAGGGGAGAGAGGGATTTTGTGACAAGGTTCTTGGCTGACTGACTCGGAGGGATAAGAAAGTTCATTAAGGAGGAGACAGAACCATTTGGGGCAGAGCAGGAGCCTTGTGTCTGCTCAAAGGGCTCTTAGTGTTCTGACGAAATCAGAATGAGGTCCAGGGGCTTTGGTGAGAGCTGGGGATGGGCTCAGTGTGGGCTGGAAGGGAGGCATCTGTAACCTGAGCTTTTCTTACAGGGCTGTGTCTGGACTGGGCGCTGAGGGCACAAATGGGTGAGTCCTGCCCCCAAGATCCCACTGTTCTCTTTTCACTCATTGTTTCTAATCAACCCAGAAATCCACTCCTGGAATAATTAGGGAGGGAACAGGGGATGATGTGGTGAATGGATGAAGTGACTCAGGAAGAGGTTACAGGTGAAAGACACACCAGGGCCAGAGGAATCTCTGGAAATCAAATTTCTTTCCTTCTCAGACACCCTTCCCAGGCCCACCCTCTGGGCCATCCCGAGTCCTGTGGTCCCCCGGGGAGCAGATGTGACCCTCAGGTGCTAGGGCCACCTGGGGAGTGACCGATTCCAGCTCTGGAAGGATGGAGAGCTCAGAGATGAGAGAAATGCATCCTGGCAGCAGGCAGAGTTCGTGCTCAGGAATGTGGATGACTGGAGAGATGCGAGAAGCTACAGCTGCCGCTCTGGGCAGGGGCCCTGGTGGTCAGAGCTCAGTGAAGCCCTGGCCCTGGTGGTGACAGGTGAGGGGTGCTAGTCTACAACCATCCCTAGTGGGAAGGAGGCCAGACCTGAGAGAGGAGCCCCAGACCCCTCTCTGGAGAGTCACCTACAAGTGGGACAAACCCTCAGGCTTTACTACCTGCCTCCCCTTAACATCCCTATTTACCCAGGTTCTGGGAGCCCCTTATTCTCTATGGAACATTTTAGGGAAATAGTGTCAGGGCTAAGATTTGAACCCACGTCTCCCACGCCCAAACCCTGGGATGTTTCGCCACCTGGTCAGTGTCCCTGGTGACCCAGCCAGGAGAGCTGGGCGGCTCCTCCCTCACAGGATACACAGCAGCCTTTGGGAATAGGGGCACATAGCTTTTCCAGAGCAAACTTTATCCAGATAAACTTTTCCTGTCCCCTCTTAGGCCCAAACTGGCAACATCCATCCTGTCCAGCTGTGTCTCCCCTTGTTCCCTTTGCCCTCACTGCTTTCCCATCAGCCTGGACAGATGACAACATCACCTCTCTTTACATCCCACCGTTCTTCCTTTGCTCACACAGTTCCCCCTGCCTATGATGCCTTTCCCACCTTCGTTCATCATTTTCCTACACATTCTTAAAGCCCAGCTCAAATCCTGGCCGCTCTAGGATGCTGTCTCTGATTGCATTAAGTGGCAATGTCCTGGCCCTTGGCCCTCCCAGCATGGTGCCCACACCTATCTTGTGTGCGCACTCTAACACTAGGGTGCTTCCCACCAGACTGGGAGTCTGTGGCATGGGGTTCAAATGCCTTCTCCTCCCAGGTCCTAGCTGGGGGACTGTGGGCAAGTCCTTGACCTTCTGTGAACCTCAGGTTCCTTCTTCCATGACATGAAGCTCATGGTCTGTATTTTCCAATGACACAATTTGAGCTCAAATCCCTGTGATTCCTTGGACTGTGAGCTCCCTGAGGGCAGCAGGGGTTGGAATCTTCCCTAAACCTTTGGGGTGCCCCCATAGCTGAACAGGAGGTGTCTGATAGGTGAGTTATCAGTGTGGGAAAGAGAACCAGAGAAAATCTTATTCATCACAGAACAGCCGAGAGGGAGCCCCCACGCTCCTCGGCCAGCCCCTGCCCACCCGGGGAGACACAGAGCTCTGCCAGCTCTGCTCTGACTTCACTGAGGGGTGGGCAGGGGTGGCACCTGGACAGGAACCTGGCACCAGGCAGCAGTGTGGGGAAGTGGGTACGGGTGAGGACTGGGAATCTGAGTTCTGTCTAACCCTCGTGTCATGGGTTTATTGGGAGGAAAGAGCTTAGCAAACCTTAAAGCTTAAGGGAAAGGTCTGGAAGTGCCAGTGATGTTGCATTAGGATCCTGCCTTGATCCAGCAGGCCCAGGCTGTGAGACAGAGCTGAGTCACTCGAAGGGTGTAAGAAGAGGGACAGATGAGAGACAGTGACTCCTTTTCTTTCTGTAGAGAAAGTTTTAACAGTTTATTTAGAAGCTCTCTTGGCCTCTCTCTCTCTCTCTCTCTCTCTCTCTCTCTCTCTCTCTCTCTCTCTCTCTCTCTGCTTCTCTCTCTTTCCGTATTCCTCCTCTACTTTTCTCTGTCTCCCTTCCCCTCTTTCTCTATCTCTCCCACCTTCTTTATCTGTCTCTATCTCTCTGTCTCCTTCTCTCTGTCACTTCTTCCTGTCTGTTTCCCTCTCTTTTTATTTTTTAACAAATATTTTTATTTAAAGTTTTGAGTTCCAAATTCTATCCTTCCTTTCTTCCCTCTCTCTTCTCTCCCCTCCCTGAGATGGAAAGCAATCAGATATATAGGTTATACATGGGCAATTATGTAAAACATTTCCATATTAATCTTTTTGTACAAGATGACTAGAATAAAAGAAAAGCCTACTTCAGTCTGTATTCAGAAAACATCAGTTCTTTCTCTAGAAGCAGATAGTATGCTTCATCCTGAATCCTTTGGGATTGTCTTAGATCATGATATTGCTGAGAAAGGGTAAGTCATTCACAGTTCTTCACTGAACAATATCGTTGTTACTGTGTATGATGTTCTCCTGGTTCTTCTTGCTTCACTAGATATCCAGTCATGTAAGTCTTTCCAGGTTTTTCTGAAATCATCCTGCTTTTCATTTCTCATAGCATAACAATATTCCACTACAATCACATGACAGCTTGTTTAGCCATTCCCCAATTGATGGGTATCACTTTGATGTCCAATTCTTAGCCATCAAAAAAAAAATGCTGCTCTAAATATTTTTGTACAAATAGGTCCTTTTCTCATTTTCTGGATGTCTTTGGGAGATAGACTTAGCAGTGGTATTGCTGGATCAAAAGATATGTAGAGTTTGGTTGCCCTCCAAGCATAATTCCAAATTGTTCTCCAGAATGATTAAATGAGTTCACACCCTATTTTCCCACATCCCCTCCAACATCCACCATTTTCCTTTTTTGTTATATGAGTCACTCTAATAGGTGCGAGGTGGTAACTCAGAGTTGTTTTAATTTGCATTTCTCTGATCAATAGTGATTTGGAGTATTTTTTAATATGACTAGATAGCTTTGATTTCTTTGTCTGAAAACTGCCTGTTTATATCCTTTAACCATTTGTCAATTGGGGAATGATTAGTATTTTTGTAAATTTGACTCAGTTCTCTATATATTTGAGAAATGAGGCCTTTATCAGAAACACTGGCTGTAAAAATTTCCCCCAGTGTTCTGTTTTCCTTATAATATTGTATGCATTGGTTTTGTTAATGCAAAAAAAAAAAACTTTAATATTATGTAATCAAAATGATCTATTTTATATTTTGTAAGACTCTCTATATCTTCTTTGGGCCTAAATTCTTCCTTTATCCATAAATATGACAGGTAAACTATTCCATGCTCTCTTAATTTGTTTATGGTATCACCCTTTATGTGTAAATCACGTACCCATTTCAAACTTACCTTAGCATATGGTGTGAGATGTTGACCTAGTTTTTGCCATGCTGTTTTCTAGCTTTCCCAGCAGTTTTTGTCAAATAATGAGTTTTTATTCCAAAAGCTTGGATCTTTGGGTTTGTCATGTACTAGATTACTAGGGTCATTTACTATAATTTGTACCTAATCTATTCCACTGATCCATCACTCTTTTTCTTAGCCAGCACTAAATTATTTTGATAATCACTGCATTATAATACAGTTTGAGATCTGGTATGGCTAGGCCACCTTTTTCACCTTTTTTTCATTGATTCCCTTGATATCCTTGAGTTTTGTTCTTCCAGATGAATTTTATTATTTTTTCCAGCTACATAAAACAATTTTTGATAGTTTGATTGGTATGGCAGTAAATAGATAGAGAAATTTATGTAGAATTGTCCTTTTTATTATATTGACTCAACATATCCATGAACAATTAATATTTTTCCAATTTTTTGGATCTGACTTTATTTGTGCGAAAAGTATTTTATAGTTGTGTTCATGTAAGTTCTGAGTTTGGCTTGGCAGGTAGACACCCAAGTATTTTATATTGTCTACAGTTATTTTAAGTGGAATTTCTCTTCCTATCTCTTGCTGCTGGACTTTGTTGGTAATATGTAGAAATGCTTACGTGGGTTTATTTTGTGTCCTGCAACTTTGCTAAAGTTGTGAATAATTTCAAGTAGATTTTTAGTCGATTCTCTAGGATTCTCTAAGCATACCATCATATCATCTGCAAAGAGTGATGGTTTTGTTTCTACATTGCCGATTCTAATGCCTTTAATTTCTTTTTCTTCTCTTATTGCTATAGCTAACATTTCTAGTACAATATTAAATAATAGAGGTGATAAGGAGCATCCTTGCTTCGCCCCTGATTGTAATGGAAAGGTGTCTAATGTATCCCCATTATAGATATTGCTGGCTGATGGTTTTAGATAAATATTACTTATTTTAAAGTAAACTTCTTTGATTCCTATACTCTCCAGGGTTTTTAAGAAGAATGGGTGCTGCATTTTGTCAAAGGCTTTTTCTGCCTGTATTGAGATAATCATATGATTTCTGTTCATTTTGTGATTGATATGGTCAATTATGCTGATAGTTTTCCTAATATTGATCCCACCTGATCATAGTGTATAATTTTTGTGACATATTGCTTTAGTCCCTTTTCTAGTATTTTTTTTTGCATCAATATTCATTAGGGAAATTGGTGTATAATTTCCTTTGTCTCGGCTCTTTTTGGTTTGGGTATCAGTACCATATTTGTGTCATAAAAGGAATTTGGTAGGACTCCTTCACCTATTTTTCCAAATAATTTATTATTATCATGATTAACTGTTATTTAAATATTTGATAGAATTCCCTTGTGAATCCATCTGATCCTGGGAATTTTTTCTTAGGAATGTCATTGATGGCTTGTTCAATATCTTTTTCCAAGTTTGGGTTAAGTATTGTATTTCTTATTCTGTTAATCTACGTAATTTGTATTTTTGTAGATATTCATTTCATTTAGATCATCAAATTTATTATTATATAATTGGGAAAATAGCTCCTAACAATTGTCTTAATTTCCTCTTCTTTGGTTGTGAATTCACCCCTTTCATTTTTGATACTAGTGATTTGATTTTTTTCTTCCCTTTTTTAAAATCAAATTAACCAAAGGTAATATATATTTTATTGTTTTTTTTTCATAACACTAGCTTCTAGTTTTATTTATTAGTTAAATGGTTTGCTTGATTTTAATGTTATTCATTTCTCTTTTGATTTATAGAACTTATAATTTGGTGTTTAATTAGGGATTTTTAATTTGTTCTTTTTCTAGCTTTTTTTAGTTGCATACTCAATTCATTGATGTGCTTTTTCTCTATGTTACTGATGTAAGCAATTAGAGAGATAAATTTTCACCTATGTACTGCTTTAACTGCATCCCATAAATATTGGTATGTTGTCTCATTGTCATTCTCTTTAATGAAATTATTTATTGTTTGTTTCTATGATTTATTATTTGACCCACTTGCTTTTTAGGATTAGATTATTTAACTTCCAATTAATTTTTAATCTCTCCATTGTCCATTATTGAATGTAATTTTTATTGCATTGTGATAAAAAAAAGATGCATTTACTGTTTCTGCTTTTCTGCATTTGATTGTGAGGTTTTATGTCCTAATACCTGGTCAGTTTTGTGTAGGTGTCATATGCTATTGAGAAGGAAAAAAAGTTATATTCCTTTCTATTCCCATTCAGTTTTCCCCACAGATCTATCATATCTAACTTTTCTGGAATTTTATTCACCTCCTTAACTTCTTTCTTGTTTATTTTTTGGTTAGATTTATCTAGTTTTGAGTGGGGACAGTAGAGGTCTCCTACTAGTATAGTTTTATTATCTATTTCCTCCTGCAACTCATTTGACTTCTCCTTCAAAAATTTAGATGCTGTACCATTTGGTGCACGTATGTTTAGTATTGATTTGACTTTATTGTCTATGGAATCTTTCAGCAAGATACTGTTTCCTTCTTTATTTCTTTTAATTAGATATATTTTTGCTTTTGTTTTGTCTGAGTTCGTGATTTCTACCCCTACTTTCTTTGCTTCAGCTGAAGCATAACAGATTCTTTCCAGCTATTTACCTTTACCCTGTGTTTATCTCTCTGCTCTAAATGTGTTTCTTGTAAATAAGATATTGTAAGATTATGGTTTTTAATCCATTGTACTATACACTTCCATTTTATGAGTGAGTTCATCCCATTCACATTTATAGTTATCATAAATAACTCCATACTATTTTTCACTTTTTTATCCACCTCTCTTTTATATCCCACCCTTTCCTACTCACATGTGTTTTACTTCTGATCACTTCCTTCCCCAATATACCCTCCCTTTTATCAATCCTCTTTCTTCCTTCTATTATACTCATCTCTTTTTATTTCACTGTAGGTTTAGATAGATTTCCATATCCAACTGAGTGTGTACGTTATTCCCTCTTTGAGCCAATTTTGATGAGATTAAGGTTGAAACTGTGTTCACTACCCCAGCCCCGAATTTCCCCTCCTTTATAATTCTTTCATGCCTCTTTTATGTGGGATAATTTACCCCATTCAATCTCTCCCCCTCCTTCTTCCAGTGCAATTTTCTTCATCACCCTATAATTTTGTTTTTATTTTTTTGTATCATCCCATTAAAGTCACCTTATATCCACACCCTCTGTCTACAGATATGCCTCCTATTTGCTCTTATAGTAATAAAGTTGTTAAGAGTTACAAATATTATCTTGCCATATAGAGATATAAACATTTAACTTTATTGTATTTTTTGTTTTCTCTCTCTCTCTCTTGTTTCTTTTTTTTTTTTTTTTACCTTTTTTTATGTTTCCCTTGAGTCTTGTATTTGGAGGTCACATTTTTATTGAGCTCTGGTGTTTTAATTAGAAATGAGTACTCTATTCCATTAAATATCCATCTTTTTCCACTGAAAGAGTGTGTTCAATTTTGCTGGGTAGGTGATTCATGGTTGTAATCCTAACTCCTTTGCCTTCTGGAATATCATATTCCAAACCCTCCAGTTCTTTAATGTGGAAGCTGCCAAATACTGTGTAATCCTGACTGTAGCTATACGATATTTGAAGTTTCATTTGAGCTACTTGCAATATTTCTCATTGATCTGTGAGCTCTGGAATTTGGCTATGATGTTCCTGGGAGTTTTTATTTTAGGATCTCTTTTAGGTGGTGATTGGTGGATTATTTCAATTTCTATTTTGCCCTCTGGCTCTAACATACCAGGGAAGTTTGGGTTGTTTTTTTTTTTTTTATAATTTCTTGAAAGACATTTTCCAGTCATTTTTATATCATGGCTTTCAGGTACTCCAATTATTCCTTTATTATCTCTCCTGGATCTATTTTGTAGGTCAATTATTTTTCCAATGAGAAATTTCACATTTTCTTCTATTTTTTAAACTTTTTAAATTTTGTTTTGTCATATTTTGATGTTTCATAGAGTCATTAGTTTCCATTTATTCCATTCTAATTTTTAAGGAATCATTTTCTTCAGTGAGCTTTTGTACTCCTTTTTCTATTTGGCCAATTCTATTTTTTTGGGAGTTATTTTCCTCAGGAAATTTTTACATATCTTTTCCCATGCTATTGACTGTATATTCATGATTCTCTTGCATTATTCTCGTTTTTTCCCATTTTTTCTCCTACTTCTTTAATTTGCTTTTTTAAATCCTTTTTAAGCTCTTACGGGAATTATTTTGGGCCTGAGACCAAATTACATTTTTTTTGAGACTTCCATGTAGCCATTTTGATATTATTGTCTTCTTCTAAATTTATGCCTCATTCCTCCCTATCACCATAGTTATTTTCTATAGTGAGCTCTTTTTGGGGGTTTTTTTTGGGGGTGGGGTTTCCTGTCATTTTCTTTTAATCTTTTTTTGTGACTTAATGTTTTTATGAGAAAGTTGGGCTCTGGCCCTGTACTTTCCCAAGCTTTCTGTGCTTGGAATTTCACTGGGCTTCAGGGCTTTGCTGCTCCTTTTCTCTGAAAGGTAGGCTTCCCTTCTGGCTTGTACTGAGGGAGTGGGGCCTTCCTGTTGGCCTCCCCTGGGTGTGGAATTTAGCTACTGGCCTGGTCCAGGTGTGGGGACTTGCTGCTGGGTTGTTATGACAATAAGACCTCTCTACTTCTAGGCCCTGGAGGAGTAATCTTGTTGTTGATCTACCTGAGGGGTAGAGCTCTGATGCTGGGTTGCTATGGAAACAGGGTCCCAGAGGTGGGGTCTCACTGTTGGCCAGCCCCAGGGTAGGGCTTCGCCACTGATCAGCAATGGGGTCAAGGGTTTTGCTGGTGAATTGTGCTGGGAGTGGGGTCACTGGGATGGGACCTTGTGGAACTAAACAGACTGCTCACTTGTCTAGGGGTCTCCTGGTGTGCAGGAGGGCAGGGACTTACTGGTGGATTGCCACAGGCTTAGAGTCTTGCGTGTAGAGCCTCCATGTTGTGAGGCTGGCTGCTGCTGTTGTTCTTGGACCTTTTTCCCTCCCAGCCCAGTGAAACAAACCTTTCCGGACAGGCTGGTCGCCTGCTTCCCTGTTGCTAGACCGATTCTGACATGGTTTCCTAGTTGTTTAAAGGGGAATTTTGGAGGCCTTTTGAGGATTCCTTCTTTACTCTCTTAGCACCAGAAGTTTCTGACCTCCCCTTCCCATCTCCTTTCTCCTCCCATTGTCTTTCTGAGGGTGAACCAGGGAGCCCAGTTAATCAGCCCCGAACAAGCCTACAGAGCTGGACAAAAGGACCTGGCCAGAGCCCCTCAGTCCATCCTCCCTCTTCCCAGGTCTTTTTCAAGGAATGATTTGAGGGGATCAGGGTGACATATCAGGTCTCTAACTTTCTTCCTTCCTCCTTTCACAGGAGCCCTCCCCGAACCCTCCATTTCAGTCTCACCTAGATCTGTAACATCCCCAGGGACAACAGTGACCATCTGGTGCCAAATATCACCACAGGCACCCTCTCAGGACTACAGTTTTGCTCTGCTGGACACAATGAGCCTGGAACCCTTCCAGCGACAGAGCCCTGCAGGGACCCAGGCTAATTTCTCATTTCTGTCCGTGAGGCCCGAGGATACTGGGAGCTACAGCTGTATTTACTACAAGAAGACAGCCCCCCACAGGGGGTCACACCCCAGTGAGACTCTGGAGCTGATTGTGCCTGGTGACTGGAGATGGGATTCCCCCAAAGCCCTAATTCCATTCCCCAGATAGGGGCCCACAGATTTATGGGGACAGCATAAAATCCTGGGAATTCTGAAGGGATGGTTTAGGGGGAGGCTGGAGGAGACCCTGGGATCCTCTCCCATTCTATGTGGACTCAGTTTTGGGCCCCAGGATAGTGGTGGTATTTCTAGCTTAAAACAGGCCCCAGACAAGAAAGTGAGAACAGAGGCAAGGTTCCAATTTCCCCTCTCACTAGGAGTTTAGGGGAGGGGTCCTAGAAATGACATCTGACCTTGACCATTGGCACAACTTTCTCTACAGGACTACTCCCCAAGCCCACCCTCTGGGCCAAACATGGCCTCGTGGTGACCCCGGGGGCCAACATTACTCTCTGGTGCTCAAGGCCCAAGCTGTCTTCCCTTGGAGAGGTGACTTTCACTCTGTGGAAGACTGGGACCCTGTGGCTCTTACAGCAGCAGGCCTCAGCAGATCTCTGGACTAGCTTCCTGCTCCTATCTGTGAGACCTGAGGACACTGGGAGCTACAGCTGTACCTACAGGGGAAGGACAATGTTTACTATAGGATCAAAGACCAGTGATGCCCTGGAGTTGGTGGTGCCAGGTGAGGGGTGTGTGTGGGCCCCAGAATAACTCTGATTATGACCCCTCAGTGGTCTGTTCAGACTGAGGCCTCACAAAGACAAGGCCTTGTATCTACACAGCCAGTTCTGCCCTGGGGCCTGTCAGGGCTCTGGAGTCTTGGAAGACATGAGGCATTTCTATTCTAATCTAGAATCTAGGGAAGAAAGGTGATGGTGGGGACTGAGTTGGGGGTTAGGAGAAAAGTCACAGAGACCCAAAGCTGAAAGAGGCCTTGGAGGTTCTTGAGGCCAAACCCTCCCATTACTAATGAGGAAAGTGAGACCCAGAGAAAAAGGACTTGTCCAACGTTACAAGACAAATGAGTGACCAAGCTTGGAAATGAACCTGAGCCTTCTCACTCTTGGACCATGATCTGAGCCTCAGCTTTAGCTGAGCCCTGGGCCTGTCTGTGATAGTCCTGATGAAAAGTGAGGGGTCATGACCTTCCCTCCCATGAGTCATCAGGTGCATGAGACAATAGATTGGATGAGCTCCCTCAAATATGAAAGACTCCTCAGAATTCCTGGCTATCAATAGCTAGAAATTCATGAGTGATCTTCTGGCCAAAACTCTTATTTACAGATGTGGTAACTGAGGTTCATAGGTGGGTTCATGGCTCAGTGGATAGAATGCTGAGCTTGGAGTTAGGTAGACTGATCTTCCTGTGTTCAGTTCTGGTCTCAACCACGTATTATCTCTGTGACCCTGAGGAAGTCACTTAACCTAGTTCACCTCACTTTCCTCATCTGTAAAATGAGCTAGAGAAGGAAAGGGCAAACCACTCCAGTATCCTTGCCAAGAAAACCCCAAATAGAGTCATCAAGAGTTGGACATGGCTGAAAAACAACTGAACAATGAAACCAAGACTCAGACAGGAAGTGGATGGCCCATGGTCACAAAGGGACTCAGAGTCTGAGTAGGGATTTGACCCAAGTGTCCTGACCCCCAGCACCATGTTCTTCCTCTCACAGGGTCTCTCCCCAAGCCTTCCCTCTAAGCCATCTCAGGCCTTATGGTGGAGGCTGGGATGCATGTGACTCTCCAGTGCCGACAGCCCCCTCAGACATTCCTCAGTGGTGTGACATTCATTTTGCTGAAGGTGGGGACTCCCCATCCCCTGCAGAGCCAGAGCCCAGCTGGGGCCTCAGCTGACTTCCCCCTCCTCTCTGTGAGGGCCCAGGATGCTGGCAACTACAGTTGTGTCTACCACAGGAGAATGGCCCCATACCAGGTGTCCAAGCACAGTGAGGTCCTAGAGATCTGGGTGACAGGTGAGGGTGTGTCCAGATACCCAAGGAAGAGGTAGAGGTTTGGGACTCTACCTGAGAGGCAGGCCAGGAATCCAGAAAAGTTATTTTGTTTTCAGCTCTTTTAATACCATGAGGTAGAGATTGGGACAAGTTCTGGGCATCCCTAAGGAAGAGGAGAGCAAAGATAGAAGGATGGACCAGCTCAGGTAGTGCTCCAAGCTCAAGGGCCAAAGATGGAAGGAAGAAATGCACCCTGTTTCTAGGTGGGCCCAGAGAACATCTCAAGTTTAGCATCTATGCCCCTCCAGGGAAGGAGACTTTGGGCAAGTAATGACCAAAAGGCAAAGGAATGAGAGCTGATGGTCAAGGAGTTTTTCAGGGACCTCCCAGCCCTTGTTTCCATCCACCTCCATTATAACTATGCGAGGCCATTAAGGATCTCTGGCGTCTCTTTGTGTTTCCAGATGTACTCCCCAAGCCTTCCATCTCAGCCTTGCCTGGCCCAGAGGTGGCCTCAGGAGCCAATGTGACCCTCCTCTGCTGGGGACCCTCATGGACTACTAGGATTGTTCTGTACAAGAAAGGACATGAAAACATCTTGCAGAGCATGGATACCACTCAAGATGGAGCCAAGTTCTTCCTGACTCATGTGACTCCCAAGGATTCTGGAAACTACACCTGTGGGTACCAGCTTCTCACCAATGGAAGTCTCTGGACACAACACAGTGACCCCCTGCATCTGAGAGTGACAGGTGAGAGGGAGAAATCCACAGGACCCACTGGAGGATGCCAATGACCACTCCCTTCTTCAGTTTCTACAAGGAAATGAAGTCAAGGCCTTGGCTCTGGCCAAGAGACATATGATAAGAAACAATAGAAACCTTGACATTTTCCTCATTTCCAGGACCATAGAGACCATGTGTGTTGAGCTGGGACATAGGGCTTCCCCCAACACTTCCCCATGACCCACACATCTCTACCCTGGTTTCTGAGGTTTCTGAACCTAGTTCCAATGGATAAGCCCATTCTGAGCAGCATTTGTGCCAAACTCCGGAATGCTAGTGGTGATGGGTGGCTCTGGAGGGAGATAGAAGGAGAAAAAAGGAGGCAATTTCAGGGGCAAGGTGAGGGTCCATTAGTGTGACTCATAAAGACTTTTCTTTCTCCATCACCCCAGGTTCAGAGTCCAGTAACACCTTCATTATCACCCTCAGCTGTGTTCCCTTCCTTCTCTGCCTTCTCTTGCTGGCAATGCTCTGCAGAGGATCCGTCCCTATAGGTGAGAAAGAGTTGTACACCTTAGTGTCTTTAGCAATAGAAATGGGTAAGGACTGGGACCTCTATTTCCTCCTTTGAGACCTTCCCTGACCTGACTTCTTCTCTTCCCATGTCTCTCTCACTAGGGTCTTTACAAGGAGAAAACCCTAGGAGGTAAGGAGACTCAACTCCTCTTCCCATAATCCCCTGTTCCTTCCTTGCAATATAACCTCTGCACTGCACAGAGTCTGTGGTGAGGAGAGGCTGATCACAAAGCCTCCCAGTGTGGATTCTCTCCTACTGTCCTGTTTTCTCCCTCTCCCCTTGTCTCAGGTGTCTTTGTGGTCCTTGTCTTTCTTGGAGTACCTGCCTGCCCCATCATCCTGAGGCCCCCAGAGAGGAGATCCTGTGTAGGTGATCTGGGCAGCAAGGGCATGTGATAATGGGTTGGGAGGATAGAATTGTGAAGGCAATTCCTGTTCCTGGGAAGCTGTGAGAATAATGGAACTTTCCATCTATCTCAGATACAGAAATGGCCAAGAAGAGAACAAGGGACCCTTTGGTGAGTCAGCTCATCCTGTCCTCCATCTGGAGGACCCAGTTTTATTTTTAATCAGAACCTTTCCCAACAGGTTCTAAGCCCACAGTTGCACTACTTCTTAATCACTTACTATTTTTTTCTTCTAGTCATCCAATGTAGGGCTACTGAACTGGGGATCCCTTAACTTAATGGGATAATTGTTAAATATTTCAATCATTGTACTTCAATATCATTTATTTCCTTTGAAATTTTATGGAGTTCATTTCATATAATTAACATAATGATAATGAGAAGCCATCCATAGCTTTCACCAGAAAAACTGTCAAAGTATTCACAACATACCAATAGATTAAGAACTCCTGCTCCAAAGTCACTCACTTTTCCCTTTTCCTTGTATTTCCTCTTCAGTTCCCCATGGCTGAAGACCCCCAGGGAATAACTTACGCTCAGCTGAACATAAGAACCTTGAATGAGAGGAAAACTGACCACACAAAGACACCAACAGAGCCCACCATCTATTCCTCTGTGCCCAGGGACTGAGGATTTGGGCACCTTTCACAGAAAAAATTCTCTCCCATCCTCTCCTCTTCCATCTTCTCTTCTTCTATCTCTTCTCCTGTCTCTCACCCCAATTTCTTCTTTTTTTCCAGTACATCTTCCCCAGGTTTCCATCACTGAGGAGCCATGATGCCTATTTGGGTTTCCATTTCTAGATTTGTGCAAAGTAACTGCACCCATCTATGATAATGAGAAACAAACAAGATAGATACAAAGTAAAAAGGAGACAACCATCTCAAAGGGGAAGTCACTAGCAGAGGTGAGGACCAGAAAAGACCTTCTGAACTAGTCTGCATTGGAGCTAAATTTTAAAGGAATCCAAGCAAACTGAAAGGCAGATTGGAGGAAAGATAACATTCCAGGCATAAGGGGTAGTTGTGGTGGTTTCTGGATATCTCAACCCACAAACACCAAAGACAACTTAGAAGGTCAGTAGGAAAGGTCTGTGACCATGGTGAGAGAGAAGCTTGGTCCTAGCCCCAGTCCCATTGCAGCCCGGTGGACTGGCTGCTTCTGGAGCATTGGCCCACAGACAGAAGGGGAAATCAAGTGGCTGATCAGAGGAGGATTGCAGGGATCTCTTTGCTGGTGCTGTGGCAGGAATCTCTTGCTTTGCTCTTGCGTGGATCTGGGTCGCAGTTCTGGGTGGCAGTCCTGGGGCAAGGAGGAGCACTGGTGTGGCAGAGCTTGTAATAGTGGTGGAGAAGGAATCCTCCTCACAGTTTCAAGGCAGAAAAGAGTGCTTGCGGTCACTCATAGACTAGAGCACAGACCAGGAAAGGAGTAAACACTTCGCCCCTTATCATACCACCTTGGAAGAACTGAAAATTTATAGGTCCCTAGAGGTATCTCTGAAAACAGCTGCACAACACCCCTGAAGCTTGGGACAGTACATTCTCCACGCTGGAAGTGGACCACTACCTTAACAAATAGTTTAAAACTCAGGTAATTGGTTGGGAACATGAGCAAACTGTGCAAAAAGTCAGACCATAGAATCTTTCTTTGGTGACAAAAAAGATCAAAACATACAACCAGAAGACAACAAAGTCAAAGCTCCTACATCCAAAACCTCCAAGAAAAATATGAATCAGTCCCAGGCCATGGAAGAGCTCAAAAGGGATTTTGAGAAAAAGTAAGAGAAGTAGAGGAAAAATTGGGAAAAGAAATGAGAGTGATGCAAGAAAATCATGAAAAAACAAGTCAACAGCTTGCTAAAGAAGACCAAAAAAAAGATATTGAAGAAAATAACACCTTAAAAAATAGCCTAACCCAAATGGCAAAAAAAGGTCCAAAAAAGCCAATGAGGAGAAGAATGCCTTAAAAAGCAGAATTGGCCAAATGAAAAAGGAAGTCCAAAAGCTCACTGAAGAAAATACTTCCTTAAAAATTAGGATGGAGCAAATAGAAGCTAGTGACTTTGTGAGAAATCAAGACATTGTAAAACAAAACCAAAAGAATGGGGGAAAAAAAATAGAAGATAATGTGAAATATCTCATTAGAAAAATAACTGACCTGGAAAATAGATCCAGGAGAGATAATTTAAAAATTATTGGACTATCTGGAATTCATGATCAAAAAAAAGAGCCTAGACATCATTTTTCAAAAAATTATCAAGGAAAACTGCCCTGATATTCTAGAACTAGAGGGTAAAGTAGAAATGGAAAAAATCCACCAATCCCCTCCTGAAAGAGATCCCCAAAGGAAAAATCCAAGGAATATTATAGCCAAATTCCAGAGTTCCCAGGTCAAGGAGAAGATATTGCAAGTTGCCAGAAAGAAACAATTCAAGTATTGTGTAAACACAATCAGGATAACACAAGATTTAGCAGCTTCTACATTAAGGGACTAGAGGGCTTTGAATATGATATTCTGGAGGGCAAAGGAGATAGGATTACAGCCAATAATCACTTACCCAACAAAACAGAGTATAATCCTTCAGGGGAAAAAATGGATATTCAGTGAAATAGAGGACTTTCAAGCATTCTTGATGAAAAGACCGGAGCTGGATAGAAAATTTGACTTTCAAATACAAGACCCAAGAGAAGCATGAAGAGGTAAACAGGAAAGGGAAATCATAAGAAACTTATTAAGGTTGAACTGTTTACATTCCTGCACAGAAAGATGATATTTGTAACTCATGAGACATTTGTCAGTATTAGGGTAGTTGGAGAAAAAAAATTATATGTATATATAGATAGATACATAGAGGGCACAGGGTGAATTGAAGGTGAAGGGGTAACATCTGGAGATTAAAATTAAGGGCTGAGAGAAGATTATACTGGGAGAAAGAGAAAGGGAAAGGTAGAATGGGGTAAATTTTCTCACATAAAGCAGACAAGAAAAGGCTTTTACAATGGAAGGTTAGAGGGAATGAGTGAATCTTACTCTCATTGGATTTGGCTTAAGAAGGGAATAACATACACACTCAACTGGGCATGGAAATCTATCTTACCCTACAGGAAAATAAGGGGGAAGGGGATAACAGAGAGGGGAATGAATGAAGGGAGGGCAGATTAGGGAACGGGGGTAATCAGAAGCAAACACTTCTGAGGAGGGACAGGGTCAAATGAGAGAATAGAATAAATGGGGTGTGGGACAGGATTAAGGGAAATATAGTTAGTTTTTCACAGCATTACAGCTATGTTTTGCATGACTGCACTTGTATAACCTGTATGGACTTGCTTGCCTTCTCAATGAGGGTGGGTGG